GCACCTTCCTTTTTCTTACGTTGAATCTTGAAATATTTTAACTTGAGTACTATCATATTGCTAGAACCAATATTAGATTGTTGAACGCTTAAATGTTGATTAAAGATTGATAAGCTTCGGCTAATGGCATCCGAATGGATGGCCGGGACAAAAGAGTGATTAGCTTCGGCTAATGGCGTCCGAACGGATGGCCGGGATGAAAGATTGATTAGCTTCGGCTAATGGCATCCCAACGGATGGCCGGGACAAAGAATGATTAGCTTTGGCTAATTGCGTCTAAATGGATGGCCGGGATGAAGGATTGATTAGCTTCGGCTAATGGCGTCCAAACGGATGGTCGGGACAGAATGATTAGCTTTGGCTAATGGCGACCGAATGGATGGTCGGGATGAAGGACTGATTAGCTTCGGCTAATGGCATCCAAACGGATGGATGGCCGGGATAAAAGAGGGACTCCACTGCCGATGCAGAAATCGACAGCGACGCAGTTTCTACTGCCGATTCTGGATCGGCAGCGACACTGTATTCACTGCCGATACAGATCGGCAGCTACCCATTTTTCACTGCCGATACAGAAATCGGCAGCGATGCAGTTTTCGCTGCCGATACAGAAATCGGCAGCAACGCAGATTGCGCTGCCGATTCGGGATCGGCAGCGACGCAGTTTCCGCTGCCGATTCTGGATCGGCAGCGACACTGTATTCACTGCCGATACAGAAATCGGCAGCGACCCAGTTTTCGCTGCCGATACAGAAATCGGCAGCCACGCAGATTGCGCTGCCGATACAGAAATCGGCAGCGATGCAGATTCCGCTGCCGATTCTGGATCGGCAGCAACAGTTTTCGCTGCCGATTCCTTGATCGGCAGCAATGCAGTTTCTGCTGCCGATTCTGGGATCGGCAGCGACACAACTTTCATCATGGAATCCGGATGGATGGCTGACACAAATGAAAGACTAGTTTTGGCGAATGACATCCGAAAACTTGTGTATCTATATGTACTACTTGTTGTTATAGCAAATACATGAAGAAATTATAATTGTTAATGCTTTACCTGATTGCCAAACTATTAGTTACCATTCTTATTATTATTAAGCATTTGCATTCTCTTAAATGTTTGTACTGCTGCAGGGACTTCACACCAACGAGATGCCTAGGAAACCCGATACACGAGAACCTACTTTTGCAAGGAATTATGTAGATGTATTTTAAATCACAATGTATTTTGTAGGGATCAATGTACTGAATGTATAACTTTTATTAGATCCTTTTTGTTTAAAATTGTGATGACTATTAGTAGGATAAGACTGCAAACTCATGTTTATGTATATATTTTTAATATGAATTTCAAATCAAGCAACCTTAATATTATGTGTTTGTGTAAGTTTCACTTTGAAATGAAATGTTGATTGGATGGATTGTATTTTGATGATGTGAGGATTTAGATCCATTGATTGCTGGCACCATGTGGATTGAATGCATATATATATATATAAAAAAAAAATTTACTGTGTTTTGGGCTTAGGAAGCCGGGTTTTTACACCCTCGGACACGGTCGTGCGCGCGCCTGTCGCCCCCGGGATCTCCTGGACCCTCGGGCATCGAATTTCTAGGATGCTCTCGTTGCGACCCCAGGTCAGGCGGGACTACCCGCTGAGTTTAAGCATATAAATAAGCAGAGGAAAAGAAACTTACAAGGATTCCCCTAGTAACGGCGAGCGAACCGGGAAATGCCCAGCTTGAGAATCTGGCACCTGCAGCGTCCGAATTGTAGTCTGGAGAAGCGTCCTCAGCGGCGGACCAGGCCCAAGTCCCCTGGAAAGGGGCGCCAGAGAGGGTGAGAGCCCCGTCGTGGCTGGACCCTGCCGCACCACGAGGCGCTGTCTGCGAGTCGGGTTGTTTGGGAATGCAGCCCCAATCGGGCGGTAAATTCCGTCCAAGGCTAAATACGGGCGAGAGACCGATAGCAAACAAGTACCGCGAGGGAAAGATGAAAAGGACTTTGAAAAGAGAGTCAAAGAGTGCTTGAAATTGTCGGGAGGGAAGTGGAAGGGGGCCGGCGATGCGCCCCGGTCGGATGTGGAACGGTTACGGCCGGTCCGCCGATCGGCTCGGGGCGTGGACCGATGCGGATCGCGGTGGCGGCCCAAGCCCGGGCCTTTGAAACGCCCGTGGAGACGCCGCCGTCGAGATCGTGGACTGCAGCGTCCGCCGTCACGGCGTGCCCCGGCACATGCACGCTCCGGGCATCGGCCTGTGGGCTCCCCATTCATCCCGTCTTGAAACACGGACTGTAAACACCCAAACGAAAATATATATATGTCTATATATATATATATATATATATTTATTTATTTATTTAAAGAGAAAGAGAGAGAGAAAGATGGTGATGAATGCAGTTTTCTCTGCCGATGATGAAATCGGCAGCGACGCAGATTTCGCTGCCGATGCAGAAGTCGGTAGCGACGCAGTTTTCGCTGCCGATTCTGGATTGGGCAGC